TGGACAACTAAAAATATATATAGAAAAAATTAGCCGGGCATGGTGGCGCATGCCTGTAGTCCCAGCTACTCGGGAGGCCGAGGCAGGAGGATCGCTGGAGCGCAGGAGTTGGAGGTTGCTGTGAGCGAGGCTGAAGCCACGGCACTCTAGCCCGGGTGACAGAGCGAGACTCTGTCTCAAAAAAAAAAAAAAAAAAGACAAGGGGACAGATCTGAGATGCAACTCTGGGGCTGAACTGCCCGGACCTGCTGATGAACCGCGCATGCGAGGAAAAGGTGGGGCTCGCTCTAACAAGCGGGTGAAGGGAAACCCGGGGGAAAGGACAGATTACAATGCATGAGCTTTGCTTTGTCCACGGCAAATACCAGACGCCTGTCCTGCAGCCACGGGAGGCAGTCGTGAGGGATTCCGATCGGGAAGTCTGCGGACAGCTACGTCCCGGCCCGGCCCGGTCCGCTAAGTGACTGCGACACCCGCCCCCGTCCGGGCCTCGGAACCCGCCGGGAGGCTGGACTCCGCCCTCCGGGCGACGGAGGGCGGGACAGAGCTGCGCAGGACAGCCCGGGGCCAGGCCGGGCTCCAGCGGAACCAAAGCCGCGGGGGCGACGGGGGGACCCGGCAGCGGCCACACCGGCGGACCCCTCCTCGCCCGCCACCGGCGCTCACCTCCGCGTCCGGCCTCCGCCGCCCTCCCGCGGCGTCCGCCCGCCGAGCCCGGCTCGGCCTCGCTCTCGCCCGCCTCCTTCCCACGCCGGGCCGCGCTCCTGCCCTCGGACTGCTGCCCGCGAGGGTCGCGTTTCCGCGGCTCCCCGCCCGCCGCGCGCTTGCGAGCCATGCTGCTGCCCGGGCAAGTCCCGCTTCCCCCGGCGACGCGCCAGGCCACCGGATGTTGCCCGAGCGCGGCCTCCGCCCCCAGGCGAGCAGGGGCCGGCCACGCCCCCCGACGAAGCTCCGCCCCCGCCGCAATGGCCGCTGTAAACCGCGAGGAGGAAGAAGGGGGCAAAACCCATTTCTACTTCCGGTTCATTGCGCCCTCTCGCTGCCGGAGATGCTCGCGGGTTCTCGCGAGAGGCGGGAAAGGCCGCAGGGTTTGGAACATGGCGGACGACGTGGACCCGGTGAGTGTGTCCCGACTCGCTCGTCCGGAGCGGCTTCCCCGCGCCGGGCCTTGGCCCTGCGTGGCGCGGCTGCTTCCTCCAGGCCCGCGGAGAAGCATCCCGTCCCGCCTCCTCCTCTCCCGCGTCCCCGTGGCCCGATCTGTCCCGTCCGTCCCGGCGCCGCGCTCCCTCCGAGTTCTTCCGGCCTGGGGTGTCGGACTCGCGAGCACCGAGCGAGTGGATCGCTGGGGAGCGAGGGGAGCCCCGCGGAAAGGGCAGCGTTCGGGGTGACAGGGCGAAAAGCAGG